ACTGTAGCTCTACTACTGAGCCACAGTTAGTACCGTCTTACTTTGACTAACAGTGCGCCTGTAAATACTTCTCAGATTTATTATATGAAAGTTCCAATGTAACCATTATAACGTTACTTTAGACTTCAAGTATTTTTCCATCAAATTTCTCTTTTGTCTCTCATCATTCAACTCAACTGATGAGTTCTGGTATTGTGCGAAAGGCCTCTTAGGCAGGGACTTGTAGGAGATTGTTTGTTTTTGAATTTCGTGCAAATCTACATGAGGATTATCTGCACTAGCTATCTCTAATTTAGCAGTGATAGATGAGAGGGAAGGCAGTTAGTCAACACCACCCACCGCCAACTCTAGGGTTATTCTTTTACCAACGAATATAGGGATTGACCGTCACAAATTCTTTGACCAATTCGGGCCTACTCAAGGGCTCACATGACCTGCCAGTGAAAAGATCGTTGTGCACCTTTAATTGATGTGCTCCACAACAACTTTTTACACAATAAAGTGCACATAATATCACAAGTAAATGACCCAGAACAATAGATAACTAGGATGAAAGGTTAGTTTGTAGTTAAGCACAAAGCTGCATAATGAACCATCTGTGTTGTGCCTACCACAAGTATCGAAACCCAGATTTTAGCGTTATATATCTACAGACATACGGTTGAACCACTTGGGGGGGGGGGGAGGAACTTAGACACTTCCTTGACCAACAATCTACTTTTAAACTTACAAACACTTGTATGCATGGAAATTTTGAAAATATTTTGTTGACTTAAGAGTTAAATAAAGGGGTGGAAAATGTGTACTATAAAAATTGTGTAGGTTATATTTAAAAAAAAATTAATATTCAGGTAGGGAAGTCATGACAACCATAGCCGATAAAAAAGTCGTTTATCGAACGGCAATTATTATTATTATTTGTAATTAAGCACAAAGCTACACAAAGGGCTATCTGTGCTCTGCCCACTACGGGTATCGAAACCCGGATTCTAGCGTTGTAAGTCCGCAGACATACCGCTGTGCCACTGGGGGGCCCGAACGGCAAGTAATAGAACTAAACTTTGACATTGTTTAGAGTTTTGTAGGCAGTATGGTGTTACCGGCGTTTTATTGCTTTTAGAAAGCTATGTGAAAGTCCTTTTTGACGCAAAATATTCAGATAATGAAGTTGTTTGTTTTCAAATCATGAATTTATAATTTCCAAGATGGGGTATTCCTTATACTTAAAACCTTTGAAAACAAAGAAATATGGATCAAATCTGGGCACCAGGACTATTCAAAAAGAGTCCTGCAAAAGTCATACCCTAGTCGTAGTAAAAAAACTGCAGCGTCTAGTAACGTGTGAGAACCCCAAAACACAAAGGTCAGCGGTAAACGCCATCCACGTGCTCCAGACAACAGTATGCAGCACAATCAAGAAGGATATCTATCTGGAAACGAGGCCAACAAGGTATGAGTTCACCAAGATAAGGCTTCCAGTCATGCTCCCGGTTCGACCGTCACATACCTCAAACAGCTGGACAGTGAAATAAGTATTCATTCTATTTCATAGAAAGATGCAGCAGGTGTGGATTTCTGTTCAAATGGACAGTTGAAACTGGTGCTGGGAAACTATCATCTTCGTACACTAGATGGATTATGGAAAGTACTTAGATGGGTTATTATTAAGATGCAAGATTCAAAATAAAATAATTTACTTGAATAGCTAGGATGATTTTGTTTTTGCGCCGAATTAAAGGCTTAACTAGTGGTTGTATGCCTTATTTCCTTTTTAGAATTTACACCCGGTCAGTCTAAGAATACAAAAGTATGGCAATTTGCGCTAAACCTGTCTCAACCCATATAGTCTTCCGGTAAGTTTTCGGAATTACAGCGCTAAAATCCGGGGTTCGATTCCATGCAGTGGGCACAGTAGGTGGCTTTGCTCAATAACAAACAAACAACCCCTATAAACAATAACGAATTAAACTTATTATTTTACATAATGCGTTTAGTTTTCATAATAATAGTCCTCCTGGATAGTTAAATCAAATTTTCGGCTTTCAACTACAAAAAAAAATATTCTTGTTGACCAAAAATAAGTTTTAAAAAAATTAATTGCTTCGCAGCTCAATTTCACACCATATTAAATACACATTCGTCCTTGCAAAATATAAATTTCTACAGCAATGATTAAAATCCGTGGTTCGATTCCCCACGATGAACACAGCAGATACTTCAATGTGGCTTTGTTCTACAAACAAACAAAGAAAACCGGCTACGATAGCTTTAACTTTCAGGTTTGTGAGCCGTACGTGGCCCACTGGTTAGCGTACCGAACTATGGATACGCAGTCCATGTCTTGGCTCGCATCCCTTTGCCACAAATAATAAAATAAAATAGTGAATCACATTCTGTACTATGGAGCCACGAGTACGATATTTCTAATTCCACTATTCGATTAGAGTAGATTAAAAGCTGTAGGCGGGTACTTTTAACTAGTTGGCTTTCCTCCAGTCCATCTGTTCAGAATTACGGGCGAGAAGCCCCCCAAAAAACCTTTGCGCAAATATCCGAAACAAACAAGCTTTTTTTCTTCTTCTGAGACTCCACGTTTTGCTTTTGTGTTGCACTTCCATGCTTAGTTTAAGATAGCGCCTGTATTTTCACTCGGCTTGCTTCCAGTTATTTTCTTATAAAATTATTATTTTTCCTTAATTTGTATTGTTCTATCTACTATAACGGAGTATTATCCTGGCTTGAGTGTCTCGGGTTTCACCCAAACATCTATCACATTTTGTTGGTTAAAGGTAAGCACAAAGCTAAATAGTGGGCTATCTATACTCTGCCCACTACCTGTATAGAAACTCGGTTTCTAGCGTTGTAAGTCCGCAGACATACCGTTGTACCACTGGGGGACATTTAAAATTAAAATGTTTGTGCTCTATAAAAAAATTTGCTGTAATTCTTATACACAAGACAAGACTCTATCCAGTGTTGCTTTCTTATCAATAGGTAATCTCTGAAGCGTCGATTTCCAAAATGACAGTTTTAAAACATAAAAACTTGCATTGTTATCATAATTACTCCATTATTATGTTTTCTCCTATCATTTGTTTGTTTCGTTATTACAGGATTTACAGCCTAACTTTAACCACTTGCTTGTTAGTTTATACACTTTCACTGCAACTGTTGTTTAATAATATACTTCCCATGAGTTCTCTTTCTCAATCTGACGTAGGAAGGCACGTAGCTCCACCAATCTGGTAGCAATTCCAGCAAGTCGAGGCTCCTTGTTCACAAGGATGCATTTCTATTGTAGGATTTAACAATCAAATATTTTTTTTCCTTCTTTTTCTGGAATCATTTCTTATAAACTGACGAAGACCCATGATAACAACCTTCGCAAAAGGTGCAGTCTGTTAATAGTTTACAGATGAATTAATCTTTGATTTGGATTAGATCTTTCCGAAAAGTATTTATTTTATACTTTACCTCGTGTAAAATGGTGCACTCTCACTAACAAAAACTGTTCGATTACCATAACTTTGGTGTTATGCAAAAAGTTACACGATGGGCTATCTGTGCTGTGCCCATCGCGAGTAGCGAAACAATTTTTAGAATTATATGCCCTCAGGTTTACCTCTGAGCCACCAGGGGAAGTGGACGCAAGTAAAATGTCTCTATAAATGTTTGATTTTTAGCGTTCATTGAATTTGTCTAGAACATGATATTTTAGGGCAAAACATTTTGTCTTTCGTCGTGTTGAAATACTCCGTTAAAAGCAAATTAAAATCATCACGATTTTTACTTTGATTGTTAGACGTTCACTTCCATAATATTGATTTAATTTTCATTGTTAGATATACGTTCCAAACTAATTACATACATACCCAAATAATTTTTAACTATGAAATTTTAGGGTCATTTTATAACTACTTTTGGAGCAAATTTTCTTTGGATTCTTTTCATAAATCACAACTTTACTAAAAAAACATGGTGGTGTTGTCTGTGTATCTTTGGATATTAACAGTTATTTAATTTATTGCGAGTTGTTTTTATTTTTCGGGTCAAGAAACATCGTTTAACATATAGTGTATTACAGTAGTGGTTATCAATGGCAATTGTTCCTTTTGCTTTAGAGCAATTAACATTAATATAAAATGTGTTGAAGTGACGGCGACCTATGGTAACCGTTCCAATTAATTTAGACTTGGTTTGGCTGTTGTTAAGCCCAAAACTACATACTAAGCTATCTGTCCTCTGTCCACAACGGGTATTGAATTCCGAATTTTAGCGTCGTAAGCCTGCAAACTTACCGCTGAGCCATTAGGGGGGGGGATTAGTTTAGAATAAGTAACATTGTTTAATATAAAGTAGTGTGTTACAGTGAATGGCACACATAGCCAGTTTATTTAAAACAAGTAACAGTGTTTAATATAGAATAACGTATTGCAATGACTGGTATCCATAGTAACTGTTTGTTAATTTAGAACAAATAGCATTGTATATAGAATGTATTACAGTGATTGCTACCCATGGTAACTGTTCCTGTTAGTTTAGAACAAATAGTTGTTTAACATAGAATGTATTACAGTGATTGCTACCCATGGTAACTGTTCCTGTTAGTTTAGAACAAATAGCAATGTTTAATATAGAATGTGTTGCAGTGCATGGTACCCATGGTATCTGTTCGTTAGTTTAGAACAAGTAATATTGTTTAATATAGAATGTATTTTAGTGACTGTTGCCCACCACAACTGTTAGTGAAAAGTTAGAACTAGCCTTGTTTAATACTGATGAAGATAACCTATGATAACTGTTAAGTTTGAACGTTATATTGAACTCTCATTGGTCAGTAGGGAAAAAAGTTCTGATAACCTGGAAAGTTGTATATATTTTAATAATTTTCTTTTAATTTTATATACGCCATAATTGTTTGAACAGTAAAAATTAATTAAATTGTCACGTTATTAAAGCAAAAACGAAAATGTTCCTTTCAACGACAAAGCATGACAAAATTTTGGTTTATCACAGATTTTTATGTCATCAGCTTTCATCAATATGGTATACATTACAAACATCAGGCACTAAGATGCGAGGAATAGACTGTCACAGTTTGTCAGAAGTGGCATGATAAAAGTAAATTGATGAGTTAATTCAACAGGAGGTATTCTGTAACAAACTTAAAAAAAATAACAACAAAAAACGAAAATAACAATATCTGATAACCTGCAGCACATTGAAAACTTTTATGAAATATAGAGAGAGTAAAATAACTTTTCTCCCATTGTGCTGACCTAAGCCACACAAATGCCTACAGTACAAGATAATTTGTAACCTAAAATTAATGTCAAAACCCTTTAATAATAATTAAGTCAGCAACCAGAAGCAAGTAAAAATCCAAACATTGTATCTTTGTTTTACAACCTCTTTGCAATGTACTCATACAGGCATTACACTTACATGAATTGCAAGTTTAATGCCTGTATAAGTACATTGTAAGCTCTTGGGTCTGGTATTAGTACTTTTCATTCCAGTAAATTTTGAACTATTAAGCAACCTGGATAGTCAAGAGATGACTTAATAAACTCTGAAGTAATGACTTAGTAGATGAAGAAACACTTATTCAATAAACAGTGATGATATGATCCAGTAAATATTGTGATGTTAACCTAGTATTATCTAAAGGTTTCATTCAATACGTTTGAATTGCTATTTTTGTAAATACTGAAGTACTTACGGTGTATATACTGAAATACTGATTCAGTAAACTACAGATATAATACAGTAAACACTGTTAAGTTGAACTATTGTAGAGTTATGATTTCATTCAACATGTATGTTGAGGTGTTGATCCAACAAAGAAAATACATTGATTTCATGGATACTGAAATACTGATTCAGTAAGTCCTGAAAAAGTGATCCATACACTCCAATAAATACTGAAAGTTCAAATTCTGTAGATATTGAGAGGTTTGATCCAACAGAGATTAATATGTTACTTCAGTAAAGCTGACATGAAGCTACACAGAAATTCAAGAGCGATGTAAAACATACAAGGTAAACTCAATACACATTTGGTGTTATTTTCAGTGTTAAAACTAAAAATATTTTTCAGTAGATACCGAGTGTTGATCTACAAAACCCTAAAAATTTCACTCAATTAGTATCAAATCTTTCATTTAACAGATATTGATGAGTCAGTTCAACAGATAATCTTTGCACGGTCCATTAAATGGAAATGAATTCTGCAGAAGTAGAACTGAGAAATTTAAGTTGTAAATTTCACTTATCAAACAAACAAGGTTTATTAAAGTTTAAAATGCTGAAAAAATAACAGAATTTTAATTGATAAAACAATTCATTAAGTTCAGTTATGTAAATTCATAACTGAACTTAAAATAAAAATATATTCAGTAATTCTTAAAATACTTAAGTTTAAGGTGACAGGGCCACTCAGTGAGTAGACATGATGTGCTGATCCAAAAAATCCTGAAGAACTGATCAGAATGTTCCTTTTCGGTGTATTCTTAGCTGATAATGCAATGGCCGATTCCATGCAAACTAAATATCTATTCACGAGTCCACTGAAGAATAATTAGATAGTTACCAAATAGTTAAACCTGTTAAAATAGTAAAGTTGATTTAAACAATTTGTGGATACTAAAGTACTTTACAGTAGACTTGATGGTGAATGATAATCTGACTAGTTGGAAGTAACATTTTCATCAGTGACTGAACATTTGCAAATGTTGGTACTAGAAAACTAATTCATAGTTTTCCAAAAAATCAAAGGACAATATTGTTAATTTCAACAGAAAATCTATAGATTTTAACATACTGAATTAAATAAGGAATCACGTAACAATGATAGAAGGGATTTTTTTTCAATAAATACAAGAGTGATTCGAAATAAACTTAAGCACTAGTACTGAATCAACAAATAAGTAGCGATTAGTGTTTGTCAATAGAATTAAAAACTGGGTAATTGTTTGAGTACTTAATAAAAAAAAAATTGATTCCCAACATATTAGGAGACTGTCTTGTAAAACACCATACTTGAGAGAGACAGAAAGAAAACAAACAAGACCAGGTTTGTTAATTACTCAGGTTAAACTGATCATTCACAAGCCATCATATTTCCTTAATCAAACATAAGGATGTTACAATTTCATTCTAATAGAATTGTTCAAATGCACACATACACACATGAATTATTTACCCTGGTCCATTCTCACCTACACACTGTACAGTTTATATTACACTAAACTCTTCTAAGCTCGTACAGGCAGAAATGCTGCCCGTGATGAGAGAAAAATATGCATCCAAGTATACCACCATTTAATTCTTTGTACATTCATTTTTCATTTCAAGGAGCTAAGTTTGTTGATGTACAGACAGAGAACAGAAGACTGGCACATGTCTCTTAACCCTTTCCTTGTGCTAGTCTTCTCAGTGTTTCATCACAAGTGTCTTTTAACCAGAACAGCGTGCAGAACACTAAAGGTCTACAAGCTTGAGAAATAAACCTATTAATCCTTAAGAGGCTAAGATCTATCTGATGAACTGGCTTGCCGGCTATATTTGCCATAATTGGATTTGAAGTAGTCATCATTTGCCATGCCAAAAACATCGATACGATCTTCCTTTCTGTACTGGAGGCACCGACGAATAAATTGCTGAAAAAAACAATAGCAGTAATATTACTTCTATTTAAGATATTCATCAACATCTTTTTATAAAAATTACAATTGATTATTATTAAACTCCTCTTAAAAACAAGTTAACCTGTTTTAATAATTACAGAAGGAACAC